TGCGGCGGGTCGGGGTCCCCGGGAGGGTCCCTGGCGTGCCCCTGTGTTGCCACCGTCAGGCGGCGCTCTCCAGCCCCGCGGCGGGACAGGGCTTGTCCATGAGCCAGCTGAAACGAATGCTGAAAGGCAGCGAGGTGTTTTAAGACCAAACCCATATTTTTTGTCAATGAATAATCTTTTTTTTCCACTTACATTTTACTATTGGATTACTTAAGACGTGGGGTTACAACTGTGAAAGTACAGTTAAATCACCTTGAAACAGTATACCTTTGGTTAGAGGAATGAGATTCAGCTCCAGTTTGTTGTCCAGCTTTGAACAGAACGCTTCGTGAACTTCAGAAGTGCTAAACAGCTTCCGTGTTATGAGGGGAAAACAGTAAGTTTTCCTTTTAACAAAACTTTCTACTATTCCACAGTAAACCGTCAAATATTTTATATTGTGTAGCTATAAAAACACTGTGTTTCACTATATTGCCTCTCTAGCTTTCTCCATCTCTTTACCTGCCTGGAAAAATCTAATAGCTTGGTGTGCATTGGAGTAATGTGCCATGTCCTCACACAATATTCTGGATTTTGTTAGCTTGAATATTTTAAAAGAATAATTGATGAAAGACATTTTTCCCTTTTCAAGTCATGTCGTGTTCATTCTGTAAGTGTCTGTATCCCACAAAAGTACTTAAAAAGAAAAAAAATATAAAAAAGTGCCATTTACTGGGGTGCTTTAGGTGGTGCAAAGTTGTCTACTTAGAGACACCGGGTGTTTTTGCTGTTGCCTGTCTTATGAAAGAACTGCCAAACAGGCCAAATACAAAAAATACAACAAAAAAGTAAAACCAAGTAAGTCCAAATACAACAAAAAAGTAAAACCTAAAAGGCAAAATTGTGTTTGCTTCCAGAAATGGCTTGATTTCTAGAAAAAATCTCTTAATGTTTTGGTTGGAGATCTATTGTCATTTGTTCCTGCAGAGTTCATAGCCAGATACAATTTTTCTCCTGAGGACCAGCTGTGTTAAAACCAGAAGTATTATGGTAGTTAACCGTATCTTACCTGAGAGTAGAGGAGATGGTGCTTCATGTTTTAAGTGAAACATGACACTCTCTGTGTTGTCAGTTTTGGGACTAAAGAACGGCTGTGCCTTGGTAAGTTCCTGTCTTCAGATCCTTTGCTTGCTTGGTCCTGCCCTTACTTCTCTGTTCCAATACCCAGCTGTGATTCCGTGTTGCTTTCTTAGTTCCTTTCTTCGTAACTAGTCAAGTGGGCTGGTGGGTCAGCCCTTAACAGTGAGGGAGATGACATCCAGCTTTCAAGATGTCTCTTATAAAAAAAATCAAAGAAACAAAACAAAACAAAACCACAAAATGCTTGTGTGCTGACTCATTTCATGAAGGAAGTGGTATTTCTTCCTGTGCTTCAGGCGCAGCTGCAGCTTACTTCAGCTGTTTCTATTTTGAAAGCTAGATGTATATGCAATGACTTTTTCTCCAGAGATTGTTATCCACTCTTTAGATCTACGGTGAAATCTGATTTTGACCCTTCTCATCAGTGTGTGAGGTGGAAGAGGTGTGTTTCTGTTAATGCCAAGCTGATGTCGTGGATGAGCAGTTGGGTCGCTTAAATGATCACTCAAAAGTTTTGCAAGAAAAGATTTTACTGCAAGCTTAGAAAATGTGATCTTACAAAAAGTTTGTTGGCAAGGTTCACTCTATTACTTATTAAATGAATGGAATACAGGATCGAAAGGGGGTGTTGAGTAGAAAGTGATTTATACAGAGTAGAAGAAAAGTGTAAGGGGATAGGGAGACCCTCCCTTGCTGTGTCACCAGGTTCGGACTGGACCCCCTTGCTTTCTAAACTCCTTCTCAGAGAGGAGCCTGGGTGCGGCTGGATCCAGAACCGGCCTTAGGCCACAACGGTCTGTGCCTGAAGGATATGTTTAGCAGCCATTCAGGGTGTGCTGACAGTTAAAGGAGAAAGAGAATCACAGGGATTTAGAAGCTATTAATCACTGGTTAACTTAGCATTTAGAGAGTGATTAGAAAGAATTTGCTATCACAGTCACAGTACTGGAATATTATACTTTGAATCGATTCAGACACGCACACACATACACACACACCATCATAAAAATTCCCCTGGAGTTCAGTGCAATACTCACTTCAAATCAAACGATTTCCCAAGGGGCGAAGGCTGTGTCTGGAGGAGATCAGCCCGGGTAGTTTGCGAGTTGCTCTGAGAAGCGTCGCGCTCAGAGGGAGTTACTGGGTGCAGCCCGCTGCGGACTGGGAGAGCTCAGGGGGCCTTCCTTGGTACCGCTGTGTGTAGGGTCTCACGGGCGGTCGGGGGGTGCCTGGTCGCCCCAGCTGCTGCTCTTGTGCAAAGACAAGGGAGGTGCCAAGCTGTCGCCATTCCCTGCACACCAGCCAGCCATGCCTGTAGTGCGAGTTGGAGCACAGTGTTGGCTGGTTCTGGGATTGCCATGGGGGGGGGCTGCACCACCACAGCTGATGAAGTAGAAGCTGATAGAGGTGTTGAAAAAAAGAGGTGATGGAAGATTTTCAGGTTTTTTTATTTGTTTCCCCCCCACCTGGTTTTGCCATGAAATGTGGTATAGTCTGTCATCTGTGATGGAGTGGAAGATGCCTATAGTGGCTTACTTGTCTTACACCCTACATGCTCCCTGTTGGAGCTGGCCTGCAAGGGACGGGGGGGTGGCAGGACTTCTGGGCAGACCCCTGAGATGCTGCGGGGCTGGAAGGGTGCTGGGCTGAGCCCGGATACGTGCTGCTGTCTCCCAGTGCGGAGCGAGCCCTCGCCACCCCCAGGCTCTGCCTCGCTCCCCGCTGGAGTCGCCTTCCAGCAGCCCTGTGTCCGTCCCTTCCTCAAGCTGTGTTTTCTGCAGCGCTGAACCCCCACACTACGTTTTGTAGTTCATGGGGCTCCTGTGCTAGCCTTCTCACCCCACCTTGCAAAGTTCTGAAGACGGGTGAAAGGCTAGATCTGTGATTATTTGAGAGAACAGTGACTTCAGTTTGCCTTATGTTTGGTTTTTGCTTAGAACCTGTTTAGATAACATCTGTGCCAGGTATTTGAAAGAGAATGGCCTGGATTGGGGTTTGCTGCTTCTCACTGTCCTTTTCAGGGCCAGGAAATCTTAAAATTCAGATTCTCAGAGCTTCACACAAAGATGAAGTTGCATCCAGTATTTTTCTGAAAATTTTCCATGTTCAGGATTAA